TGGCTGTGGTGATCATGAGAAAGTGGCCCGCGGGTGGCTCGTCCTCCAGGAGGCTGACCTGGGCTTCCTCCTTCCCGGAGCCTGCGAGCAGAAGCTGCGGAACTTCTAAAAGGTGGGTTCAGGTCACGGGTGACATCACTCCTGCTACCGTCTATGGGTCAAAGCCAGTCACGAGGCCAGGCCAGAGTCAAAGGGCGGGGGAATCGGCTCCACCTATTGGTGGAAGGAACTGCAAAACTGTTACCGACATTTTTGCCGTCCTCCGCACATTCCCTCACCTGGACTGTGCTCCGGTTCCACGTCTCGGCTAAAGAGCATCCTTGTCCTCCAGGTTGCCTTCCTAGCTCTTCATCCCAAGCGGATCGAAGGCCTTCCTTATGCCATCTCACAGGGCAAGCTAGGCCCTCAGCACACGTGGTGAGTGGAGGGAGGTAAAGAGGGAAGACAGAAAGGAAAGAAAGACCGTCGATTCGGACGAATGCCTCGTTTGTGCCTAGCAGGGAGCCTGGCACGCAGGGAGTGCTCCATAAATGCCTGTTGGATTCAGTCCAGTTCTTTCATAAGCCAGGAGGCAAAATACGTGTCCTGAATAGTTGTTATACTCCAGAAGTGTGCCATGGAGCTTATACATCTCATATAATCTATTCTTCCTGATAAACCTGAGTGTAGCTTACATCATTCCTATTTCACACCTAAGAAGACAGTCGTAAGAGATTAAGGGACATCCCTGAGGTCTCATAAGCGTGTGTGTGTCTGATTCCAGAGCCTGCAGATTTCCCCGTTCACTCCACTCTTGTCCTGCGTACTGAACACTTCCTGTGCCCAGGGATGACCCAATGCCAAGTTCACCGAGAGACGAGTGCAGGATTGGGTGTGGAGAAGGATGTAGATTTTCCGTTTGAAACACTATGATTCCTCTCAGTGGGGGCTTCAGCCTGTACCTGCACTAATAAGGCAAGAGTTGAAGGCCTCTGTGGCTATTTTTCTATAGAATTTTTTGAAAAGACATCACCTATCCTCGCTGTTGAGACACCTTCTTCATAATCGATTTTCTTGGCTTGGCAGAAACAAGAACCCTTGAAGGCAGCATTTGCTCTGAGCAGACCTTAGACTAGTCCGTGGTCTGGGAAGAGAAACATGGGAACGAATGACCCTGGATCACGCCTGGGGACGTAACGAGGGCGAGTGAGACTTTCAGGAAGTGACTATTGGGAGGAAAGGTGGAAAAGCTTCTCTATCTCCTCCAACTAATGCCTGGCTATTCTCCCTGCTTCGGTGGTGCTTTGCTCATATGTCCATTCACTGACTATTTATTGAGAACCTACTATTGGCCAGCAATTCGGCTGGGCATTGCTTATGCAGAGATGAGCAAAACTCAGACCCGCCTTGCCCTCCTGGAACTGTGGTGGGAGAGAGAGACAATAATAAATGAACTGCGTAGACAACTGTAAAAGAGCAGCTGTGATCCATGCCATGGACGGAAGCCAATCAATTATGGGGGGCTCTGACCTTGTCAGACTTCCTAGAAGGGAGGGGTACCCCACATGGGAGGCAGCTGGGGATAACAGCAAGAAGAGAGGTCACTTTTGTCTAGTTCTTTGCAAAGAAACTATGTGCTGGCACTATGCTAGATGCCAGGGCTTTGCCTGTGGTCCTCAGCTCTGGCCGTACATTAGAATCACCTGGGGGCAGTGGGGGCACTTAAAAAAAATCTGTGTCTGAGCCAGGTCCTCAGAGATTCTGATTAAATTGTTTGGGGGGAGGGACCCAGGAATCCGAATGCTTTCAGAGCTCCCCCATGTGAATCCCAAGTACTGCCAGGGTTGAGGGCCACTGAGTCACACAGATGGAAAGATAAGGTCCCCTTTCTCAAACCACTCATCGTCTAGTTGGGAGACACAGATGTGAGAGTGGAAAATTATAAAACGGCACGGTTGGAGCTATGACAGAGAGAGTGGGGTACCAGAGGGAGCCCGAGGGAGTCGGGAGCAGCACCTAAGTCCATCTCGAAAGAGGAAGAACTCAGGGTCTGATGTAAACGGAAGGGTGGGACACCTCAGCCCCGACGTCTGGTTCTCGGACCAGCTCAGAGACCTCACTACAAATACACATGAGACTGGATGGCTCTTCCTAGCACTTACCATATTTACAATTTTATGTAATTTGTGGGGCTCCTTGGTCACTATCTGTCCCATGGGGACCATGTTTGTTTCTGATTCTGCCTTCGATTTCCAGTGTCTAGCACATGCCCCGTGCCTATTTGATGAACGACAAAATGGCAGAGTGCATCGCTTGAAGAGATGAGTGACGTGGTCAGTTTTGCATTTTAGAAACCTGCCTCTGGCTGCCTCGTGGCGACGTGACTGGGAGAGGTAGAACCGGAGCCCGGGAGGGGAGCCGTATTCACAGTGGGGCGAAGGAGAAGTGGAATAAGGCCGAGAAGCATCTGCTAGATGAGCAGCAGGTCTCGGTGACTTCGCAGTGGTGCCGGGAGAGGCGGGTGAAGTTGGCCACTCTCCCATGTCTGTGGCTTGAGTGACTACGAGTTATTGTCCCCATGTGAGAGAGGAGGACCAGCCTGAAAAAGGACAGAGCTGAGAAATGTGGGTGGCTTCAGGCTTGGCGACCTTGAGTGGGAGAGGCCAGTGGAATCTGTCGTGGACGTCACCGGATGCATGAATTTGTAAGTCCACGGGCGCCATCTGTGAATCCTTCTGGGGCAACTTCGCGCCGCTGGAAACCTAGAACTTGGCTCTCGAGGGCAGAAAGATGGGGTTCTGAAGTTGGGGACCTGGTTCTCACCGTGCGCTTCCGACGACGCGTGGTTCTTTGGGATGCGCGCTCTTCGAATCCTCAGGAGCAGGTTTCCTCGTTCCTTTTGCCGTTGACGGTCTGTATCTTCAGACGGCTCTAGAATTTAGGGAAAAGTGGAGGCTTTGTCTTGAAAGGTCGCATCGGTCAGCGTTGTTTACATTAACGGGAACAGAAACCCAATGTGAACTGTCTGAAGCCTGGGACGCTCGCATGTGGTTTCCTGAAGTGTTGTGTTGGGGAGTTTGAGTGGAGGTCACACTTGCTAGGAAAACAGCGCTATGATCAACGAGTGACATCTGCCATGGACGCAGAGGGGACAAGTAGGGTATTTCTGCCCGCTCGGTCCAGAAACCAAAGCTTGGCTTCCCCCGATGGCTTTTCAGAAGCATCGAACAATGTCTGTCGGGCTCAGGTTGTGCCCTGGCTCAGGCTCTAGCCATTGCTAACCTTAGTTCGGTCATTTCACATGAAGCCTGAGCTTCGCCGCTTCCTAACCCATCAAGCGGGAGTTAAAATTCGGGTCGATGAAAGGATCAAATGAGAAAAGAAACGTGGAAGTGAGACGGTCTCCATGCGCTCACACGGATTCACACATGTAGTAGCATGGGATGGGTTGTCAGTGTGGACGAAAGAGCAGCCAATATTTCTGGTCCCCTGAGACAGGTCAATGCAAAGGCGTATTGATGAGAAATTAATTGAGAAAGTGTAGAGGATCCTAAAATAATTGTGAGAAAAGAAGAATAAAAGGCCTCATAAAATTGTCAAATAGGGGGAGGAGGGGGAGAGAGAGAGAGAGAGAGAGAGAGAGAGAGGAAAGGAAGGGAAGGAATGAAGGAAGGAAGGAAGGAAGGAAGGAAGGAAGGAAGGAGAAAGAAGAAAGAAGAAAGAAGAAAGAAAGAAAAAGAAAGAAAAATGTGGAAGATGGGAGGAAAAGTCTTCCAGGCAGAAGGAACAGAACCTGCAAAGGCCCTGAAAGAAAGGAAGGGAGGGAGGGAGGGAGGAAAGAAGGAAGGAAGGAAGGAAGGAAAGGCTAGATAGTAAATATTTCAGGCTTTGTGGGCCACACACGCTCTGCCAGGTGTACTCAAATCGACCACTGCAGAGCAGAAGCGACCACAGACAGTAGGTGAGTAAACAGGATGGCCACGCTCCAGTAAAACTTTATTTATAAAATCAGACGGCGGTCGGATTTGGTCCCTGGGCTACATACTTTGCCATCCTCTGATGTAGATGAAGAAAATGTTTTCAGAATTAGTCGAAATTCAAAATTCTAAATACAAAGAGAACGTTAGTCTAAGATTCTCATTTCAGCTTTATTTATATTAGCAAAATATTGGCACAACTTGAATGTTCATCAAGAGGAGGATTGATTAGTCATAATAGTTCCATTCAGTGAAATATTATGAGGCATTACAATGCTGTTTATTAATAATTTATAACAACAGGGAGAATGCTTGATAGAACAGTCCACGAGAAATCCGGTGTTTAGAATGATAATTACGATAATGGCGGTGGCGAATATCTGAGCACCTTACACACATTCTGCCATTGAACCCTCCCGACAGTCATGTGAAATATTCTTTTGTACTGGAACGACTTGCCTTATGCGGAAGCCAATGATGAGAATAGTTAAGGAATTTAGCCAAAGTTACACCATTAGTAGGTGGCAGGGTCGGGATCTAAACATGGATCCGCTTAATCGGCTAAAAGCAAACACGCTAATAAAACCCCCAGTTGAGCTCTATTCATCGAGAAGACCCGAAGACAATACAATCAGGCGTTGATGCGGCTCTCCTGCGTGGTGGATAGATACGAATATTTCTAACACGTTCGGTATGTTCTCTAACGAGAACGCATCGTTGATTTTCATAATGAAGAAACAACCCTTGCATTTTCTGAGAAAGCCAAGGATGGCAGAGTGCTAGGTGTGACTATGGTGGGAAAAGTGTTCCTTTGGGGGGGATCTAGAGATTCTGTTGGGGTTGCCCCACCCTTTCGGTCCTGCTCTTGTTTGTGGAAAGGACACAGCCTGTCGGTCCTCCTGTCTGTTCCAGGTGGAGTTTCTAGTGTGTGTCTCGTTTGGACTGCGGGCCACTTCGATGCTGTTCCCTAACTGTCTCTCTCTCTCCTCTCTCCCTCTCTCTGCTCTCTCCTCCCCTCCTCCGTCCATCTGTCCCACCGTCCAGCCGACAAGGTAAATGAGGACTTCTACTCCAAGCGCCGCCACCTGGCCGAGCTGGCCGCCAAGGGGAACCTGCCTTTGCAGCCCGTCAGAGTGGAGGGCGAGCCGCGGGCCTTCAGCCCCGAGCACGGCCCCGCCAAGCAGGACGGACAGAAGCCTCGCACCAACAAGATGCCCCCACACCCCCTGGCCTACAATTCCACCGCCAACTTCAAGGGCTGGGATTCCGGCGAGCATTCTCTCCGGCGGCAGGCGTACAGCAACAAGGGCAAGCTCGGCACGGCCGAGTCGGGCTCCAGCGACCCGCTGGGGACGCGCAGCCAGCACTACCCACCCCCACAGCCGTACTTCATCACCAACAGCAAAACGGAGGTGACTGTCTGAGCATCCTGGAGACCACACGCAACTGAGAGGCGACAACATTCTGGCCCACACCCTCCCCGGCCTCCCCCCCACACACAGCCACCCACACACTCACTCCCACACCAACCCGCCAGATACCTGCTGATGACACGGAACCACGCTTTTCCTGGGTCAGGCCGAACACGCGTCCGTGGGCCACTGAGCAGGACCGACGCTTGGACGTCCAGCAATACGGCCAAGGGGAAACTGAGGCCTACTCTTTCGACTGCAGGCTCACGGCGGCCGACTCATGTGTGCCCAAACGGTGGGGCTGATTTTTCTTTTTCTCCTAATGTGAAACGAAAATCCGTCGTGAAAAATAACAGTAGCACAATTTAGAGAAGTTGTCCACTTTGGGCGCAGACACCATGTGCCACGTGCTGTCTATGTCGGCTGAAGAAGCCGGAGCGGGTAGAGAATGAGGTGGACACTGGAGAAGGGTGTGTTTGCGAGGCAGAGTCGTTGGGGAGGAATCTGTGCAAGTAATAAACATTTGCTAAAACCAAGAAGTGGTGACATGGACACACGGTTCGACAAGCATGAGACAGTAACTGGACACCAACCATGCTATTTATAGTCCTTTTCATATCATCAATGTTGGAAGCAAAAAAAAAAACAACACACACACTCAAACTCACACAAAAAATAAATGACCCCAAACCCACCGACGGTGATGGGGAAGGAAGAACATTCTAGAACTCCCGTAAAAGACCGTGAATCTGGAAATGGGAGGAATAGGCTGGTGTGGCGGGCAGAGGGTGCAGAGAGTATTAAATAACTTTTTTTTTTAAAAAAGAAAAATGAACTATAAATAAGCCCACTACAGAACGGACGAGAACAGAAAATTAGATTTTGTCCAAAATTTTCGAGACGTAAGACATCGACAGTGACGTCTAGAATTTTTTTTAAAAAAAGAAATCAGAGATGAGAAGCCAACCAGAGGTGAGAAGGGGACCCAACGCCTCCGACTTCCGAGGTGTCCTCCTTGCCTCCGAGACCAGACAGACACAGACACCAACCAGCCCTCTACTAACTGTCGCTCCCTGACTTCCTTCCTGTCAGCCCGTTGCTGCCGCCGCTGCCGAATTTTAACTGCTTTGGACTGAAAATGTCATAAGCGTGGGTGGTGCCTTCAATGTGTTTCTGTTTGATGACAGTCTTGTTTCCCAAGAGCAACCTGTGTCCTCTCGGCCTCCCTCCCTCCCTCCTGTTTTCCTGCAGTAGTAGAAGTGTCCGCCTTTCTGAGGGGGCCGCTGCAGTGTCAGGGGTACCCAAAGACAGAGCCCTCCCTGCCTCCCCCATGGTTAAAAGCCCACACGTCCCACCCTTCCCCAGCTTCCCAAACCCATTGAGCATTTCTGCGTCCCAGCATTTCCACGGACCTTCCTATCGGCCTGTCTCGGCCTGTTCACCTCCCGCCCAGAATTCCCGGAGGCGCTTTTCAGACTGGGTCCCAAAGCCAGAAGCCTTGAGTGTCCCGACAGAGGCAGTTTTCGGACTAGTTCTGAGTGTTCAGCGGTTGCCCAGAGGAGGCTGTCGAGAGAGCGGAGCTTTTCATTTAAGGCGAGACGTTTTCAGCCGGTCCCTTCAGGTCTTGGATAATTCACAGGAAGGTTTGAGAGACGCCCTGCGGTTTTGGTGTTAGAAGCTGCAGGAGGTCTGGCCCAGGGAGATGGGGCATTTCCCGGGATGCCCGCACCCCCCACACCCGCCCCTGCCCCCACCCGCTCCAAGGTCACGGGCTTCAGGGGAACCAATTGTTCCTGTTCCTTCTCTTCACTCCCAGCCGATTGGTGGACACTGACAATGCATTTTATCCCTCGGGGCCTTCGTCTCCCCTCGAAAACGTGAGGAATTCGGGCTAACGCCGGCTTCTCAAGCTTTTTGAACAAACAGCAAAACCTCTGCACATTTAAAAAAATCAAAATCGTGCGTGCACAGGAGCCACTCTGTAAGAGCCCCCTTTATAACCAGGCCCTGTGCTGGACACAGCAGGGGTGGGAGATGTAGTGTCCACACTCTCGGCCTCTCCGCTGAGACCCCAGGGCTCCCCAGCATGGAGGAACACCACTGGCTTGGTGTCCTGGATGTCGGTTGCCTGTGTACCTGCAACACACTTTTGGCCACTGCGGATCACTGTCGCGATCTTTGTATCTAAATCGATTCGTTTTAAAATACATTTAACTTTTAAAAGGAAAAGTTCCCGCCATCATCACACACAGAAAACCAGTTTCAGAGACCCTAAGTAGAAAGTAAGTATAAAAATAAGTAGAGAGGCAACAAAGTGGCAATCGTTAAGTTCGAGCTAGATACTACTGCCTGTGGGAGGCTCCGAACCTGCAACCTGGCTTCGCGTTCTCTCTCCCCCCTCTCCCTTTCTCCCCCAACCCGCCTTCCCACCCCACCCCTTTATTAAAGAGAGATTAGCAGACGTTAAAGAGTTGTTAAAGATATACCAGCATCTAATGGAGACCTTCTTCTTGAAATAACCAGCTGGATGGACAAAAATGCAAAGGGAACCATATCCTGTGTGACTCAGTGTTAATTAGTGCTAGATCCATGTACTACTCACAGTCATGCTATGCACGCTAGTGGTACACAGCCCGTACCTCGGGAAGTACTGGGTTGGCTCACCTGTGAGCTTCTCGACAGCTCACCGATTTTGTAATCCCCGCCTCCCCTGGAGCTTATCTTTGCTCCTTGCCCTCAGCTCACTTCATCTCACCTTTTATCCCAACTCCGATTCAGGATCTTTCTTGGTCTCTGAATCTGCAGGATGTTATTTTCCTCGGACCTTCTCTTCTGAGATGAGGTCATCCAGTGAATTTTGTTGGTTGGGGGGTCTGCAGCTGTAGTTTTGGCGGGAAAGCTGTAGCATGGCCAGAAGGACGTCGCGGTGATGGCAGCCGCGGGACTGTACTTCTCCGCCTTGGTACCTTCCAACCGGCTTTGGGAGCCAGACTGAGGGGAGAAGTATGGCCAGGAAAGTTTATTCTTTGGCCTCCTCCAGGGAGGGTGGACAGACCTCGTGATGCTAAAGAGTATCACGAGGGATGACCTAGGGACCTGTGACTGCCATGTACCAACTAGGATCTGAGAGCTAGCGTGTGCACCCATAGGAGGGAGACCCCAGAACAAAGCAGAGAGACTGCCCCTTCCCTGTTCCATGCCCCGGCACTGGCCTCTACTTGACTTTAGCTGTCCCCGACCTCCAACCCAATGGGACCAGAGTCTGACTTCCCCTCAGCCTCCATCTGCCGTGGGCTCTGCCTGGCCTCCCCATCTAACTCCTCCCTCCAGTTTTTTTGTGCCAATGGACCATATTTTATGTGCGAATATTTTAGTAACCGTACGTTCTGCAAGTAAACCTGTGTTAATACTTGTCAACACTGCAGAGTTTATGATACCAATAACACTTCCTACAACGAAGAAAAAAAAAAACATTCGTTTGTTTTCTAAGAATGTTTATTTGTAAACATATGTATTCACTATATTAATATGAATTTCTTACCTGGCAATAAAACTGATTATATGTGATGCCGGTGGGGTTGCCATGTCTCTTTCTAGGGTCCCATACTCTACTCTGAGGTTTCACCAGGGAACGCCAATATTGGCTTAGAGAGCTAAATCTTTAATGCTCAGAATGTATGAGAGATCTTTACAGTAAAGGAAAGTTTTGGTTAATAGCAACTTATAAAAATTTTCTAGATTTTTTTGTTTGTTTAAAGACTTTATGATAAGAATGTGTCATCTCTCCTAGTTCACTTCCTGCCTTAAAAATATATACCATGCTAGTCTCCTCATCATAACTAAATTTATCCTTAATGGTCAAGAATCTTGCTAAGATTTGCACTTTTTTTTTTTGCGTGACCAAGGTTGTACAGGGCACACATACTGAAAGGATGGAAGATTGGATTCTTGCTCTGCTTATTAAATTTTATTTCTTGCTAGGCTTCTGTTAGCATTAATTTTGAAATTCTCAGGTAGAAACCTGCCTTAATATGGTTTCCTCAAAAGGGGCTCTGAGAGGATTTGAATGCAAATCGTGTGTCTGAGAAGTGGAGAGAAGGTTGATGGTGGGAGGCGAGACAGAGAGAGGAAAACAGTCAATACGAGATGCCCCGTCAGCTACCACTGTGAGCGACTGGAGTGAACGCTGCGGGGGAACTTTGGGAGACGGTGTAGGATGCACACGGAGTTATCCGACCCAAGTGGAGACGGAGCTGGGCTGTCTACCCACACACACTCCCATCGGACGTGTGAGCATCACTTTCAGGGAGCGTAAATGTCCAGATACTCTCGGGCTGCCGTGTGCCAGAGTGTGGGAGAAAGCACCGGGCATAGAGATGCCCGTACCGGTAACCGGGAGTTAGCCTCGTGTGCCCATGTCCTAGAGACCCAAGGGATGGCAGCAGGAGCTCACAGGGGCTGCTCAGAGCCAAAGGTCTGAGGTCTCCAGGATCCAAGCTTCCACTTACTGGGTACTTCAACAAGTTGTCGACGTCCAGGAAAGGGGATGGTGGCCCCCACCCTGCATTCCGAGTGAGTGTCCCTTCTCTGGGGTTTGAGGATCCTTCATTGGCCAGATGGCCACTTGGTGTCTCCCAGAGTAGATCTTATACGCTTGCGCGTGCTCGCTCGCTCTCTCTCTCTCTCTCTCTCTCTCTCTCTCTCTCCCCCTCCCTCTTCCCCCTCCCTCATATCTATAAAAAATTCTGGTTAACAGATAAGTCTGGTGGCAGATAAGTCTGCTCCTCCAGTACTTGAGGACTGTTAGGAGGTGGAGTCACCAGTCAGCACACGTCACGGGCCCACGGATGTGATAGAAGGACAGGGAATCTTGCCTTGGAGATGGGGGTGGGGTTTTAACACTAAAAAATAAAAATCCTCTTGTGATGGCACCACCTAGTCACCACTCATGCACAAGACACGTCATCTAAGGTGTATTTGCAGAGCTCTCACTGTTGAAGACGTGGCATGCGTCGTCACACTCGACCTTCATGAAGGTGTAAGGTCAGCACCATGAGCTTTGAGGGGGAGAGATCTCTCTCTCGAAAACCTGAGTAACTTTTCCCAAAGCGATTCAACCATGAAGTGGTGACACTGGGATCTGAACCCCCGAGCTCATGCTTTAACTACTCTACCAGTTCTCGCTTGGGTGAGCATGTCAAGCAGTGGGGAAGCTTGATTGACATGCTGACTCCTGAGCTCCTCCCACAGAGCATCAGAGAGGGATGTTCGAGGCGGGGCCCGGGAACAGGTACGCCATCGTTGCAATGCTGTGGTTCCTGGACCACATGCTGAGAAGCGTGGCATGGTACTGCGTTCCCTGATCATCCATCATCCGTGAGCTCATCCTGTGGGCTCTGGGATGCAGAAGGAGATGGGACGGAAAGGTGTGCTCCCAGCAGGACTTCTCATCCGATGTTAGAGGGTCGTGTCCTGTAACGGACAGAGGACTGTATCACTGTTTGCTAGGACCGATTCCAACACTAATTCGCTCTGTGCCCTGGGACCTGAAGTGAGCCCTCTCTGGGTCTCTTATTTCTTCGTCTCAAGCAGGAGGCTGGGATAGCTAATCTCTCACCTGGCTCTCTTGCTTAATTGAGCGTTCCTCATCCTCATTACTGTGGCATTTGGATAGCCAACAGGATCAAGTCCCTTATCGCTCCCGAAA